TCCCCCATCTCATCTACCCTTCTCTCCTCCTCCACCTTCCATCTTATCCTTTCTCCTCCCTGTTGTCCTTCCCCTCCCCACACCTGGATCTCTTCCAACCCAAAGAGGAGCCAACCACACTGGGTAACATGAGCCAGATGTGAACTGGGGCTACGGTCTTGTACCATCTTTTCCTTTCTCCCAGCTCTGCCTGGCATGGGAAAGGCAGCGCCACAGATGAAGAAGCTGACTGTCCTGGATTGAATAAGAGTCCTCTTCCTGACTGCGTGGCATGGAACACTCTTTTACCCTCTCAGGGTTCCAAGTCTTCCCTCCAAGCCCTGCTCCCCACTCCTTCCATCAGTGAATGAGGACTAGATCTCCTGTAACTCAGGATCCTCTGCCTCAGGTCCCTGTAAAAACAAATCTATTGTCCATGAAGATTCTAGCGTATCTTGGAACATTATCCTGATTGTGAGTGACACTAAGTATGCTTTTTTCCCTTACTCTTGGACCATCTGGATGACCTGGACAGATTTAACCCTCTTCCTCATTATTAACCCATCCCTTTAGTCAACTGGGCCCCCACACCAGTCTCCCTCCAAGTGCAGTCCAAGCCCTCAGAGCACTGATGAAGCTCAATGGAAGGGATTCAAGGACCAGAGGGTCAGAGAGGGGAATCCTGAATGAGTTAGTGTCAGGGGTAGGGGTCCCTACTAAGTTGTATGGGAACTTAAGAGAGGACAAGGTCAGCCTGGTTCTCACTATAGAAGCCTCCTGCCTTCCTGTATCCAACCACCTGAGCTTTCTGGCCCCACTTTTTCCCACCACTACATTTTCTAGATCTCAGGTTGAACCAGAAAGTCCTGAGTCATCCTGAAGCTGGCTGCTGCCCAAAGGAACACAAACATGACTCACAGGTTCCTCTCCTGGCTCATGGGCCCACCCCTTCATGAGCCACCTATGCACATGAGCATTCTGGGTTGGTGCATCGCTGGAGGTGCCTACATGTATCTTTCAACGGTGACTCTTTCTTGTTGAATAGTCACCTGCCACCACCCCATCTAGCCAAATCCCACCAGACCAAGGTGCCATGAGACTAAAACCTGAGTCTTCCATCTATTGAAGAAATATTGCTTCGCCTCATCCCAGAACCAGCTTCCCCATGGTAAGTTTTGAGTGTATCTTTCCTTGAGTGTCTACTGTGTTCTGCACATTGTACTGAGATTGAGGATAAAATGATGAATAAGCCCCAGTCGGTAAAACATCTGCCCCACAAGCATAAGAACCTGAGTTTGGATCCCATGCAAAAAGCCAGGTTTGGCAGTACACTTCTATATTCCTACTATTGGGGAAGCAGAGCAAGAGGATTCCTAGGCAGTCTAGCCAAATGGGTGAGACTTGAAAGATGCTTTAAGAGTAAGTGGAAAGCAATTGAGGAAGAAACTCAACCTTGACCTCTGGCCTATACATGTATGCACATGCAAGTGGGCCTTCACATGTGTGCACATACATGTGAACACATATACCACACACATACATACACACACACACATACCAATGATAAGCAAGCCCTGTCTCCTTGAAACAACACAGACTCTCCTCCAGCAAATATTAAACTCAAAAGTGAGATAAATGTTATTGGGAAGCATAGAATGAAGCCTGTGAGTGGTCTGAAGGATTAGGAGCAATCACTTGAGAATCACCACACCTGAGTGAGGGATGAGCAAGCAAGAAGAGCAGGCAACGCTCCCCCTGAGAGAGGAACCAAATGTCCTGGTGTGGAAACAGGAAAATGGTTACTAATCAGACAACCAACATGGCTAAAGATAATTCCATGTGAGGCTTACATGAGCTACTGAGTAACTGCTGGGCTGAGCCCCCGCATGCTGTAATATGTAACCTGAGTCTCGGTGACAATGGGCATACCCTTCCTCTTGGTCTATCTGGATGAGTGGGTGTCAAGTATCTTGCTTATGACTAGGACATCCTTCTAATGCACTTACCCCCCCCCAAGATCAAGAACTCATGTCAAAGTGGATGCTGTTGAGGACAAATAGTTCCCCCACCGCCCCCATCAAGGAACCTGAAGGCTGGATGTAGCAAGGTTCAAACTCTAAGACTTGGAGCAGGATGGTCTCCCTTAGACGAGGAGAGCACCGGAGAGATGATCTCCTTCCACCTAGCACAGCCCCATTCTGCATTCAGAGTAGGTGGAGAAGGAAGCTCCTCCCAAATCACATTCAAGGGATGTGGAGCCACAGCCCTCATTTGGTTACCCCGGGACTCTGAGAGGCAACCTCTCTTGCTTCCACCAGGCGGTGCTATCGAGTCACTTTTCTGGTCTGTTTCAATGGCGGGGGCAGAGCCCAGGTCTCCAGTGGGTATGGCAGTCTTTTAGCCCTGTGAATAAGAGAACTAGTCACTAGTAGAAATCAGTTGTTGGGTCTACCTTTCCCGCCGAATGTGGTGGTGAAAATCAGGAGGGGAAGGTGTCCATGTGAGACCTTAGAACTGCTGTGATGTCTGCCCTTTGTTCCTCGGGTCCCTGGAATCTAAGCTCACTGCTTAATGCCCCCTGCCCCCATTCTGAGCTTGCTTATAGCCAAGTGGCCTCGAGCAAATCTGCCTTTTGCCTGTATTCCTTCCAACCACAGTGGCAACCATCCAAGCAAGGACAGAGGGTGCTCTCCTACCACACTAGCACTAAGGAACTCATGGGCCTAATCCTCCAGAGCCGGTTCCTTTGGAGGAGAAACTCCAATGTCCCAAGCAGGGTGATGCTGGGAGATCTACAAGCAATTCGCAGCATTCTGGGCTTCCATCTCCACTACTGAGTGTAGCTGTGTTTTGCTCTCAGTCCAACTCAGATGACCTCCTCAAGTGTGACCCACCCCCTATATTCTGTGTCACATTTGACAGGAAGCTCATTGCCCTGATGGGCATCCTGATATCTCTCCTTCCTAAGGATCCAGTTCTTTAGCTTCAGGATGCACTTCTTCCAGATAATGTTCGTCCCAGCTCAACCTTGCAGGATACTACAACTCAAGTAAAACTTATCTCAGAGTTTCAAAGTCACAGATCAGTCATGACTTTCCCGTTGTGTAGGTAGGGACAAGGGACACTAGCAACACTTCATTCCTTTCACTACTAATGCCTCATCTTGAACTGCCACAGACAGAGCACTATACACCGAGCTTGATGCTAAGCTCATCGGTTCCATGAGACCCTTCAATTCAGTAGCAGTGTGTAGTGAAGGTATTTCTCCTCCACCTTAGAGAAGAGGAATGCATGTTCTCTATCCTGTCCCAGTTCTCCAAGGCTGATGAAAATGGGAACCTAGGGCTGAATGAAACACAGGATTCTCAGGTCTAAGGTTTTAGACCCCTTGTCCAAATTGTCTTTCTTCATTCACCCACATTCAACTCTACCTAGAAGTTTCCTTCACCTAGCCAAATGAATAAGCTATTGGAACCGATACAGAGCTAGTCAACTCTTTCCTAGCCCAGGGGACAGTGAGCCCTCCCCATTGCTGGCATCTCTGCCATGCAACCAGATAAAGCTCCTCCCCTTCCTACTTCTGAGTCAACCACATGACAAAGCAAAAGCCACTCCTCCACCAAGCAGAGACTCCCAATGCCCTCACTACTGAGCCCACTCTGGCCTTAAACTCACAACAGTCCTCTCGGATCTACCTTCCTAGTGCTGGCTTACATGTGTGGCCCTCCAGGCTAAGAGGTCAGCCTAGCTCTTAACGTGTAACTTACTCATTAGATTTGTATATCAACCACAAGACACAGGTTGTATCATCTTTATTGTACAAATGAAAAAACTGAGAGCTAAGATTTCCAAGATCACTAACACATAATAGGGCCAAGGTTAGAAACCAGTTAGCCTATTCTGGAAGCCTCTAAAAATTCCCTTGTCTTGAATGGTAACACAACCTTGCCTTGAGCCTGCATACTCCAGGCACTGTGCTGGACAATGTTCTTACAGACTGTGGTTCCAGTCAACATCCACAAGACCAGGAGACAGGACTATCATTATCCCCATTTTACGGATATGGAAACTGAGGCTTAGAGAAGGTCATCAACACACTCTAAATCAGTGATTCTCAATGTGGAGGTTTCAACCACTTTGGGGTCCAATGACTCTTTCATGGGGGTCACCTAAGACCATCAGAAAACACAGGTATTTACAATTCGATTCATAGCAGTGTCAAAAGTGCAGTTACGAAGTAGCAATGAAAATGATTGGTGGTCACTACGACATGAAGCACGGTATTAAAGGGTCCCAGGATTAGGAAGGTTGAGATCCACTGCTCCAAATTGACTAAGAATAGACTCAATTCTAGACAGTCCAGATCAGGGAGATATGACCACCAACAGAGCATGAGTTCTTACTTGGGGTTCACAGTAAAGTAAGCCCATGACATTGCACACAAAGTTTTCTACTTATCTAGGGATGGGATGCATAGAGAAAATTTTCCAATACAGAGTCATCTTAAAGGAACACAAAACCATTAGGAATCCTTAACCTAAGACCAATGAGATGGCTCAGCAGGTAGAAGCGCTACTCAGACTTGATAACCTGAATTCAACACCCCAACCCCACAGTGGAGGAAAAGGATCAACTCTCCAAAGTTGTCCTCTGATCTCCACATACGCATACACCCACACACATATATCATGTACACACAACAACAGTAATAATTTTTATTTTTAAAGAATCCTTCACCTAGCACACTGCTTGACACCTGAAAGCACTCCATCTCTGGTGAATGTATGGACAAACAAATAAATGAGGAACTACACCTCTGTCCTAAGAGATTCCATGACCTGGTGCACAGTTACCTATATCTTCTGAGGTGGTGAAACCTGACCTGGGACCTGAGCCACGCCCTCCACCAGGCCCTTTCTCCCAGTCCCAGAGGCCAGAGCCAGGTGCTCTTCTGTGCTCCAGAGCAACACTTCCCACATTCCTCCCACCCCAACTCCTGACAATGACCAGGGAGACAGTGGTTGTGCAACTCAGAAAAAGAAGCTTTATTGCTTGCCAAGAAGGACAAGGGTCAAGTAAAGGGTGAAGCATGTAGGGACAATAGTGGAGCTCTTCCAGCAGTATCTGTGTCCACACAGGAGCCTCCTAAGCCTGAGCAGTACGTAGCAGCCTTAGTTCTTGGTGCGCAGGACCTGCTCGTGGGTGGAGACCACCTTGCCGTCGTGCACATCCATGACCTTGGTACGGATCTGGCGGTTGGTGGAGGTCACTGGAGAAGGAGAGAGAAGAGGCATTAGTGAGGTGGACAGATGGAGTGTTCTAAATCAGAGAAAGAAGCCAAGAAGCTGAGGAGTAAGCTGTCTCCTGCTGTCCTCTGTCCAGTTTGCCACCTCACTCCCTGCCGCCTCATGTCCAGTCTGCGTCCTCAGACTGAAGCACTCAACTGGCGCTGTCCAACAAGACCGCTCCAAAGGCATTAGAAGGTTCAACTAAACCCAAGCACTTCAAAGTAGAGGAAGGATGTAGGGTGCTCTCCGTGGTGCTGATTTTCATCACCTTGAACTCTACCCAAACACCCATTGGAGGAACAAGGTTAAGGTAGCCAGTCCTAGCTCTGAGGTGAGTTAGAAAGTGTTTTTTTCTGAAGGGACTCACAGAGGATATTGAGTAAGAACACCTAGCTTAATCCCCAAGAAAATTCTAATCTAGCTCGTAGATCTGCTGAAAGATCTGAAGGTATTCCCAGGCCCAGGTTTGATGTGGAGGTTTGACGGAGTCTTACCATCTCTGGACGATTGAGAGCCAGAGGAGAATTGAGACGATGAGGAGAATTGGGAAGATGAAAGGCTGCGAAAACAGAAAATGGCAGGACGATTAGACATATGGGGAACATTTGTGAAGGGAAGGAGCATGAACTAAAGGGTAGGCCAGGCACTCACTGGGCATCCTCGCCCTCCAGCAGACGGCGGTAGGTGGCGATCTCCTGCTCCAGCCGTGTCTTCACATCCAGCAGGATCTTGTACTCCTGATTCTGCTGCTCCATCTCACAGCGCAGCTGAGCCAGCTGCTCCTCCACACTGCTGATCATCTCCTGGATCTGGGCCAGCTGCATGCAGTAACGACCTTTGGTCTCCTCCAGGTTATTCTCCAGGGATGCTTTCTGTGAAGAAGAGAAATAAGGAATGGATCACTGAGAATGGCCATGCCCCTGCGGTAAGTCCAAGGCCAACCTTTATGTGCATAACAGCATCCCTACCATGCTGAGCTGGGACTGCAGCTCAATCTCCAGGTTCTGCATGGTGCGCCGGAGCTCAGAGATCTCGCTCTTGCCGCTCTGCACCAGCTCGCTGTTGGTGGCTACCTCGCGGTTCAGCTCCTCGGTCTGTGAAAAAGAGAGCACCATTCACACCAGAAAGCCCTGGAAGGCAGGTACTCTGCATTCCTTCCTCGCCAAATGACACCCACCTTAGTGAAGAACCATTCCTCGGCATCCTTGCGGTTCTTCTCCGCCATCTTCTCGTACTGATCACGCATCTCATTCAGGATGCGGCTCAGGTCCACACCAGGTGCCGCATCCATCTCCACATTGACATCTCCACCCACCTGGCCTCTCATGGAGGCCATTTCCTGCAGAGACAGAAATGTCCCATAGTTCAAGAGCCACATGGCTGACAGGGTTTTCCAGCAAGAGGTGATTCCAACCTGAACACCATCCGCTATTCTGTTGCTTCTCTCCGTCCACCTTCTTAATCTAGCTTTTCCACTTAGCTCTCACCTCCTCATGGTTCTTCTTCAGGTAGGCCAGCTCCTCCTTCAGGCTCTCGATCTGCATCTCCAGGTCAGCTCTGGCCAGGGTCAGCTCATCCAGCACCCGGCGCAGGCCATTGGTGTCAGCCTCCACGCTCAGGCGCAGGCTCTGCTCCGTCTCAAACCTGGAATGATTCAAGAGAAAAGGAATGAACTATCCATCCCAGCCACACTGGAAGCTTTGTTCTCTTCCTTTACACATGATTCCCAGAGTTGGCACCCGGGATGTTGTGGAGAGACAGTGCTTGTTGGTTGTTTAAGTCTGAACATTCCTAGGGTCCAGAGAATAAGGAAATTCACCCTTAGTCATGTGCCTGAAAGAGGCACTTCCAGCTTCAGCCAGCCAATAAGGCTCAAGGCCTCCAAATATGACCACCTACTGAAGTTTAGGGATAGGTGGGAGAAGTGTGGAGCACCTCTCCCTAATGTGATGGCTTTCACACCTGGCTGTGGATAAGAATCTCCTAGATAACCGGTTACAAATAACTGAACCCAGCTCGAAGGGTGGAGTCTAACAGTCTTATATTTTTACAAGTACCGCAGGGGGTTCTCCCAGCTCAAACCAACCCTGGTTAGAAAGTACTGATCCAAGATGCCCCACCCTACACGCTGGAGGCTCTGAACCAACACCGAAAACTCACTTGGTGCGGAAGTCATCAGCAGCCAGCCGGGCATTGTCGATCTGCAGAAGAACATTGGCGTTGTCCACAGTGGCTGCCAGGATCTGTAGAACAGAAAAGCCGTGGGTCATCGGTTAGACAGATATCTGTAGGTAGATGTCACTGCAGCCTGCACTGGCCTTCCTTTCTTGCTCTTGCTTGAATCCTGTTCTTCTCATTTCCTGAGCCTTTGTTTACCGCAGCAGCCTGAGAGGCAACCCCACGCAGTCAGTTTCAACCCAGGATTTTGACTCCTACTCAACAGAAAAACTGCAAATAGGTCTGGTCCCAGGCTCAAAAGCCCCAAAATTCAGGTCTTATTGCTACCACTCACCTGTAAAAACTAAGGTGGGTCTTGGGGTTTTACAGTCCCACTAAGGCTCCCTACATATCTTCTGGATCCTCCCTTCGGTACAGAACAAACCTATCAGCCCTCTGCAGACACATGAATTCCTTTCTAAGCCCGTGGGGCATGAACCTCAGGTGGGACTTTCCCAGGAGACAAAACCCAACTTGCCCAGGGAATTAGAAAAGAGGAAACTGGAGTGGAGAAAAAAAAAAAAAAAAAAAAAAAAACCAGAAGAATCCCTGAACCAGGCTGGAGTTCCTGCCAGGGACTAGTCTAATTTCCATAACTTATGCAAGGCCCAGGAGCCAAGGAGGTTTAACAGGAGGAAGAAGAAGGACCCTAGAAGCATAGCCCCACCAGGATCCCTCTGGTTTGGTATAAATATACGGGACCATGATTAGTTGTGGGTGTGGATTTTTCTATGTCTGCCAGGCTATGGGAAGAGGCTATCTTGTGCAGAAGCTCATGGGCGGCGGCAGCCTCAGCCCAGACTAGCAAGCTAATGAGCGGTTTGGGTGTCTAGCTTGGTGGGTCCCATTACAGCCTCACTCCTCCCTTTTGCTGGAGAGATAACTGCCTCCTATAGCAGAAGGTGAGCCACCTGTGCTCTAGTCTCAGCTCCGTACCCCCTCTTGATCTTTAGCAAGTCTCAGCACTCTCAACACTTAAACTTCTTCCTCTGCAAACTGTTTAGGGCAGGAACCATTGGCTTCATGCAGGCTAAGGATCGGAGCTCATAAAAACACGTGGGAAAGCTAGGAAGCAACACCGACTTCTCACTGACCAGCCCCATTGGGGGATGTCTAGGGAGGGCCTCAGAGAGAGAGGTTTAGGACAATAGACTGTCCTTTCTAGGAGTCTAGAGATGATCTGAAGCCTTGGAGGAAACTGGAATGGCAAGTCCTGCTGTCCGTTTGACCCACCTTGCTCTTCAGGTCCTCGATGGTCTTGAAGTAGGGGGTGTAGTCTTTGATCTCAGTGGGCCGCTGCCTCTGGTACCAGTCACGGATCTTTACCTCCAGGTCACTGTTGGCCTCTTCCAGGGCACGCACCTTGTCCAGGTAGGAGGCCAAGCGGTCATTGAGGTTCTGCATGGTCACTTTCTCACTGCCCACCAGGAGCCCATCACCAAAACCGCCACCAAGACCACCACCAAGGCCACCACCAAATCCACTATTAAATCCAGCACCAAATCCACCACCAAATCCACCACCAAGTCCTCCACCAAAGCTGCTGCTGCTGAAGCCACCGCCATAGCCACCTCCAATCCCACAGGCTCCCCCAGAGGAGAAGCGAGAGGAGGAAACCGACATGCCCCCATAGGTGCTGGGAGCCCGGCAGGATCCTCCAGCCAGGACGGAGGAGATGCGGCTAGAGCCACCACCGATGCCACAGGAGCCCTTCATGGAGCTGGAGGAGGTGAACTGGCGGCTGCAGGTGGCCATGGCTTTGAGAGAGGTGAGCAAGTGAGTGAGTCGGCAGAGAGAAGAGAGAGCTGCTCAGGTGAATTAGAAAGGGAGGATTGTGCTTTATAGTCGTGAGGAGGGGGCGGGCCTGGCAGATTCCATTCCCCGTGGCTTTCATCACTCCCAGGCCAGCGCCAACTCCCGATCAGATCCCTCCTCTCCTCTGCCTCATCATGTCTGTCATATTTTACTGGAAACTCATTGTTTCAAGTGTTTTGGGCTTTCTCGTCCCGCCAGGCATGATTCATCAGGGGAGGGATGGGCCTTCAGGCTACGCTTTCCCATGAGGCCCTGAGAGCCACAGCCCTTAGGAACCCACACTCTGGGCTCTGGGCTCGACTAGGATGACAGAGTAGGGCCGTACCACACCATAAACTTGCTGACCTGTTAGTTCCATTAAATGGGTGGGAGAGTCCTTCATTACATGTGGAGAAAGACCACCAGAACAGGAGGATGGCACATAGCTGGAGGTACATCAGTGTGGCCACCCTCGGCACTACCTGCTAAGGACTGGTCAATCTGTCACATCCTCAGCCAGCCAAGTAGTTTAGACTCCAGGCAGCGCCCCCTTCCCAGCCCTGGGTACAGACCCTAATATCCACCACACCTCTACACACATATCTGTGCCACTAGCTATTAGGTCACCAAAGGTCTCACAGACACAGCCAGAGACACTGAGAAACAACACAGAGTCAGGTACTTCCCAGAGCCCTGATTCGCCCTTCTGAAAAATGGGAGCAAAGAGCACCCACCCATTGTTTCTACCGCAGAGAGCTCTGAGGGTCCAAAGGGACAATGATGTTAGATTGTTGTCAACTTTGTGTGGCAGGGAGTCTGGACAGAGGGTTAGAACTTATTTTGACCTCAAAGCAGGTAAGGGCACATGCCTGGAGCAAGCCTAGAGAGATTTGTTTGTTCGTTCGTTCGTTCGTTCGTTCGTTCGTTCGTTCGTTCGTTCGTTTGTTTGTTTGTTTCCAGCCTCAGATGTCCCCTCGGATGCCAAGACAGCTGAGATGGGAGGCAGAGGGCTGACTCAGACAGCCCACTCAGATCTCCCATGGAGCTCACCCAAGACACATATGGGGAGGAACACAGGCACCTGGGAATAAAGCGGGACTGAGCTAAGAGCATAGCCAACGTGGACAACAGGGTTTCTGACTCCTGAGACCTTGAGGACCAGGGGACAGCTCCAAGAACCCAGTTAATTCTGCTTTAGAGGTTTGTATATCAAGCTTCAGCTATCCCCAGAACACCCACTTCCTGTCCCACACACTCTCTGCCAGCCCCTGTGGACCCCTGCAGGCATGTTGGGAGGAATGTGGTCGTGTCTGGGACTGCTTGGCAGGTCCTATCTTCCCAGACAGGCCCCAACAGCCCCCGCTGAGGCTCCTGGACTGTTCTTGGTATCAACTGCTCCCAGAAAGGACGTAGCACCTTAGATAGCCAACCCCACCTGACCCTGACTGCCACCAAAGCAGAAATCAACACCCTCCCCACAACAGGGCTTAAAAGCTCAGAAGACAATGCTAAGATGTACTCTTGAGGCTGACAGCTCCCCCAAATCTGCCTCTCTAAGGACTAGCAAGGATATGAGTAACCTTGGGCCCCACCCGGCTCCACCTACCCCTGACAGACACTTCTAATCTCCTTCCAGAGAATATCCTCCCCAACCCTGGCCCAGCCCTGCAATTTCCCCAGCACTAGGCAGAGGGGATTTGGGTTGAGGGAGAGACTTCTGTTAGAAACTATATTCTACTGGGTAAGGTAAGAGGTGGGGGTATCCTTCCTGGAGAAAAAGACAGCATCCAGGGAGATCCACAGACAGGGGCAGAGTGAAGAGTCCAACTCCAGCTTCTTTAGTGACCTAACACCCTGAACCAAAAAAAAGTTCTGCTTCCTGTCAGTCAGTGGAATTCCAAGGAGCCTTCTTTCCAGTGTTCCTCCTCCACTACCCTACCTCTCCCCCTCCTCCTCTTTCCCTACCCTCTACTCCTCCAGTCTCTCATCCCTCTGCTCCTCCTCCTTCTTCTTCTCTGATCCTACTCCTTACCCTGCTTTTCTTCCTCCTCTCCTCCCTGCCCCTTCACCTTATCCAAGGAGAACACAAAGATGGTAGGAAATGCATGTCAGGTAAACACACACAGGCTAAAGGGGAGACCCTTGCCAGCACTCCCCACCAGAGACCGACATTCCAGCCTCCATGGCCAAGGAACTGCCAAAGGCCCAGCCTGTTGGGAAATGGGGACAAGGCAGCACACTCCTATCCCCATGGTGGGGACGATGAGTATTTTCAAGGCATGCCGTCTCTGGTGCAGCAAAGACTAAGGGGTCAGAATGGGCATCAAATAGGCATCTCTGTCTGCTGGGACCTGGCACACCCCTACCGCCTGTAAGCGTGTTTTATGTGAGCACCAGATATCCCTCTCTCCCTTCCACCTGCCCAGGAACAGGGAGGAAAGGAGGGGCCTGGGCAGCCAGCACTCTGTGGTTAGTGAGTCTCCTACACCTCCCTGCGGTGGGAAGACCTATGCCAACCCAAACAGGTAAAGGGACTGGGCTAGGCAGCCCCTACACAGCCTCATTGTGTGCTGAGGTCTGGGTGGAGCTAAGAAGTTGCATCCTTGGGGAGGAGGAGCCAGGGCTGAGGAGAGAGACACACAGCCTTGGTGTAAAAGCTCACAGGCTAGTGGGAGAGACTGGAAGAGACTGTCCTTGCCTTTGGGGAGAAGAAAGAAAGAGAGGGGGGAGGCAGAGAGGGATGGGGAGAGAGGGAGGGAAAGAGACAGCATCCAGGGAGATCCACAGGGGGAGGGGTGGGAGAGGGAGGAGAGAGGAGAGGGGAGAGGGGAAGAGGGGAAGAGAGG